AACAATGGTTAAAGAAATTTATACTTCAATCTATGCAGTGTAAACTATATGAAAACTATAATATAAAATTGCTATTTAATTTATTGGTAGATAAACAAAATAGATATAGTATATAATAGATATAGCTTCTTAGATCATAAAAATAAAACTATTATTTTATTAATACAAGCATACAATTGCAATTAAAAAATAATCAGAATTAAATACTGCTATTTTCTAAGCCCCGACGCAAAAACGACGGGGTGTTATAAGTTTGACGTGTCTGTGTGTGTGTGTTTGTCTGTGGGATCGTAGCTCCCAAACCGATGAACCGATTTTATTTTGTTTTTTTTTTTGTTTGAAAGGTGAATTAGTCGGGAGTGTTCTTAGCTATATTTGATGAAAATCGGGCCAAGATGGTTGGGGTATTTTTTTAATTATTACTTTATCACTTATTAAATACAAGTTGAATGATAAATAAAATGATTAGGGTCGTTTCTTTACATCATCCATTATACAAAAATATTTAAAAAAAAAGGTGAGATCACTCTTATTTCTGTTTTAATATAAAAGAATTTTTTCATTAGGAGTGAGAACGTTAGCTATATTGCCTTGACAGTTAAACACTAAAAGCTGTAGACACCCGCTGAATGGCCGTTACGCGCCACATTGTCGTCTGTAACCTAGGAAATAAGTGAAAAGATATCTCTGAGAAGCTTTTAAACGCGTCCGAGAATACCTCCCTATCTGCACCAACAAAAGGCTCCCGTGTCGCTTGCACGGACAACAGATACAACTAAACACTTTATGCTATAAAAGAAAGTACAAACGCCATTATTAGTAACAAGCGTGGAGTGTCGGGCGGACGCGCCGTTGCAAAAAGAGTGCGCGGGTGACGGGCATCGATTTTTATACCCCTCAAGAGGGGGCGGGGTCATGAGTCGGCCAATCAGAGCTCGGTGAGCAGACCAATCACGCGGGTTCTTGCTTTCCGCTTTAAAAGGAAGCAGTACTTTATCGAGTAATGGAATTTCAGTTGGGAACTTCTCTGCGAGGATTAAATACAGCTCCAATGCAAATTGGTAATAATTCTTTTTTTGTGCGCCATTGACTCTTGGCTTCGTTTAAGATTTGATATCAGTTTTATTTCATAGGTTACAATGCTATTTATTCAAATAAAATATAGTTATATATGATTTGATAAATAATTCACATCTATATTAGTAAAAACAGTATTTTTTTTCATATATGAAACAATATCTTTTTTATTAAAATTTCTGCTTTTAACAAGTTATCCATTAGCACTTTGAACTGACTTGTATGAAATCTAAATCATAGTCGATAAATAAATAGAAAGCCCGCAATCGTTATTGTCTCGAATATCGATAAACGTTGCGTTCAGAGCGAGAGTGGCTTTGGGAATAGTGATGGGAATATACCGATATCTTCTTAGTAATTAATTATGACGCCATATGGTTCGTTACGGAACTATAACAGAGCAGATATATGTAATTCCTAATTATTAATTTTTAATTTTCTGAAAATGCTTCTAGAATTCAGGTTTTTAAATAAACCTAGGGTTATACTTGTATAACATAATATGTAGCGTCCGGAAATCGAACTTATTACCTTTTATGATTTTATTGTAAATATTTAAATAATATATCATAGGCAAACGAATTCATAGGCAATAATTACTTTAATAGTATACGAAAGTAAACTTAAATATATGAACAATTTTTATAGTTTAAAATGACGCTACAAATGCTACAATTGTTAGCGCTACATTGTAGTCGTTTTGTACTACGCTCGTAGCTCGTAGAGGCTCGTAGCTCGTAGATGCTACGGCCCTTTATCCTTTATGTCATGTTATACATACGTACTCGTACCTACATTTCGGTGGAAAAAATTATAGTTTTTAAGCCGTTTTATGTGTTATGTAACTTTTTTATTTATTTATTACTTTTTATACATACATTACTTGTAAATATATAATAGTATAATGAAATGGTAAGTAAATTGAAAATCGTTTGCCTAATCGTTAGATTTTTATGTCGAAGGTCGAGACCTTCTATCTCGCGCATTATGAATAATTGATCCAATTTTGTAAAGAAAATAGGGTAGCAATAGAAAACAGTACATACTATATGGTATTACTTTTTTATAGCTAACTACCGACTCACCCTCGCGTCTCTCGGGTTCGTCCCTAGGTTGCTTTCCTATACAAACTTTTATTCCCATTTTCACCTGCTTAAGGGATGATTTTCGGGATAAAAACTATCCTATGTCCTTTCCAGGGTCTCAAACTATCTTCTTACCAATTTTTTTTTACTTTAGCTTTTGCCCGGGATCATTCACGTAGTGCATAATTGCTAAGCGGACCACCTAGAGATGTAGCATCCTTAATAAACAGGCTATAAAATTCATTAAGAATTTTTAATCGACTTAGTAGTTCACGCATACGCACTTTCTAAAAAAAATTTAGCTATAGTATACATTAATATTAAAAGCTTCAAAATTTGAGGTTTTAAAAACATAATATATGTACATTTTTGTATGTATTGTAATTTATCGATACAGCTTATAGTTAAACCTCACTACCTCCCAGGAGTACTGCAATCCTCTTTGTCCTCACGATATTTATACCTCCATAGCTTGAAAGCGAGCGGGCTTGTTGTGTCAATGGATTCCAAACAACATTTCATTTAGTGATTTATCACTTTGCACTTATTTCTACTTTAGTTTACTTGACATTTGAAAGTTTTCTACAGGGTTTACAATAGATTTATAGATTTTTTGCTGACAATATTTACTCTGCTTTTCAATTGTTTTATCAATTAATTGTTTTTTATGAAACATTATGACAAAAATTATTTTTAATTTAAAAAGACATGTTTTTGTTATAGGTTTTAAATTAAAATAGGTTTTAAAATTAAATTTATAGCTTTACTTGATTTAACGTTTCTATCTTATTATCGCACAACCCTTAATTGTATATATTACTAGCAAAACCCGCGGTTTCGCCCGCGTTCAAACTTCCGATTACATCGGAATACTTCCGATTACATCAGTTTTACAATATTGTATGGAAGTCTGCCCGATTTGTTGACATTTATGATTACTGCTCTGCTCTCTTTGCTATCTAATGCAAAAAGAATTTTTAAAATTGGATCAATAGTTCCTGAGATTAGCGCGTTCAAACAAACAAACAAACTTTATAATATTAGTATAGATTACTCCACGACAGCTTCTAAATGTTTTGAAATAAAAAAATTAGCACTTTTATGTAAAATGAAGAATCATTTAAAGTTATTTCAATGTATGCATAGTTAAAATTGCAAATAGATTATATTTCGAAAAAATACACGGAGCTTATGATATAGCAAATGGAATTTTGTATGGAAACCTTGTTATTTATACGGATATTGCAACTATTGGATGACCTCGATGTATTTTTTTCTTATTTTTAATTTAACGTTCTATATATCGCTATCACTAAATATATACCTACGTATGATAAAATTATTTCTTAGTAGAATCTGTACATTAATTATTTTTATTTAAATCTTATTGAAATAGTCATTATTATCGATACAGAGGCTGAATCTACAGTTTTTAGAATATTAGTTTGTCTGTATGTCTGTGACCGCATGACGAGAAAAACACTGAACAGATTTTGATGAAATTTGTTATGATGATAGCTGATTATCCGGATCAACATATATAATACTTTTTACTGCGAGAAAATGGCTCATCTCAGAGAAATCTATATTAAAACTTAACGTAACTAAAACATGTAAGAAGTGTCTAAACGTTATTTTACTATATCTTAATATATAAGTCCCATATGCTCCTTATATTTTTGCATAATCGATACTAAGTCTTCTAAAAGCAGCACTTTTAAAAGCAGAATCGATTTATCCACGAGGTCGAATTTTGATTTTCATTCTTTGAACTATTGTCGTGCGTAACTTCACGCTAAGTTGGAGCTAAAAGGGGATTAACTCACGGTTCTGAATCATTTTTAGGGCTCGATGCAAATCGTGCACTTATATTTTTCTAACAAAGTAATTCGAGTTCTAATTATTTTATTTTTTATCTGTATTTTAAATTATTATTAAGGGAGTAATTTACAAATATTTTTGGAAGATATAACTAAGTATTAAAAATGTTTAATATAGGTTATATAATTAAATAGCAGTACCCGCGGCTTCGCTCGCGTCCAAACTTCTGATCGTTAACAAAATTCACAGGATCATCCACTGGGCTAATCTGAAGATTATCTGAAAATTTCATCAAAACTGCTTCAGATATTTTGGAGTCTATAAGAAACATACATACACATAGCGATTTTTATTTTATTTAATCAACAATTTAAATTTATTTATTGCTCGGAAAATGGAGTCTTTTATGAAAATTAGTGACACACCAACTGCGCCACCTACCTGATCTATTTGTGAATTCAAACCTTGAAGGGACTCACTCGAAGATACACAAAATATATCATTAAAATCGTCCCTGCCGTTTAGGAGATAATGAATGTAAAGATATTTAGCCTTGTTGAAATTGAAACATTACCTATCATGCGTATTTTTGTACTGACATAATAAAATTAAATATGGACTAGTTCAATCTACTCGTAGTTATTGTATTTGTTTTATCCTAAAATATTAAGCATATTTTGTAATATATAACGCAGTGTCTTTTCGATTGATAAATCATATGAAAACCCACTATAATTATAAAGATGTTTAAGAATATTGAAAGTTAAACTTCAAACTACGGAATTTAACTAAATATAAATGCTGAGTATAACTATACTTTTTATACCTTTATCTTTTAAAAAAACTTTTTTTTATTACATATTACCTATATTCCGGTAATCTATCTGCCAAACAGCTAAATTGATTTTAACGAAACTTTTACTAGCATATAGAGTATACAAGTGACTGTGTTTTAATTAAAAAACAAATAAAAAGATATAACATTCTAAAAAAAAATTTAAAACATTTTTGTCGTAGGTTGGGTCTGATCTCACAGTGGAGTGCACTAGCGGGGCGGTACGGAGGTCTCGTGCCTGCGCCGTGGTACTGGCAGAGACCCCATGAACGGACTCCCCCTAGAGGTAAATATATATTATATTAATGTTTACTACGGTAGATATATTTAAAATACATATATATATTTGCCTATTTGTCTGTTTGTTACTCGTCATGTCATATGCCACTTATTCGATTTAAATGAAACTTTAGACTTAATATACATTAATAAATAGGTAAATTATAGTGAAATGAAAGGAATTTGTTTTACGAATATGGCGTGATATTAAAATAAACAGCATGTCAGAACATTTGGTCATAATATCATGTTTTATGTAAACGTAAGTCACTGTAGGATTAACAATATTACACAGTAGTTCTCTGTGGGTAGATGTGGGAGTGCCACTAAACAATTTAATATCATTATAATTTATACCACACTAACTAAATAAAGGTAGACACTAGACATAGATACGTAATTAATATCACGAATGCTTGAAATACGTGAATGGTTAACATATTTTAGTAACAATATATCTTAACCTATACATATAATAAAATTGTAACTAAACCGAATCTGTACATTAGATATTTTTTGGAAAATCTTTTTGAAATTAACGTTATTATCGATACAGAGGCCGAATCTATAATTTTTGGAACTTTTTTCTGTCTGTATGTCTGTCTGTCTATCTGTCTGTTACCTCATCACAGAAAAACCACTGGAGGGATTTTGATGAAATTTGGTATAATGATAGCTGATTATCCGGGTCAACATAAAGGACACTTTTTAAGTAGGAAAATATCTCATTTTTGAGAAAAAATACAAAAACTGCAATTTAAGAGTATACTAATATGTATCACCTAAGAATTTGGTTAATGGTCATGTGAACGCGGGCGGAGCCGCAGGCAATGCTAGTATTATTAAATATTTATATAGGTATTGAAAACTTGATTTTTGCATTTTAAATATTTTTCATGAAACACATTAAGGCACATAAGTATAGTATAAATATAGAGTTGCATTTATTTACAACGATCTTATTGTCATACTCCATAGAGTAGCACATATGCTAGTAATAAAAAAAACGTAGTGTAAACGGAATTAGGGATGTAAGAGGATATACCATAAATAGTCAAGGGGCTCTATTATCTTTGATTACCTAACAAGATATAATATGAAGTACACATGTATGTATGTATCTGTATTGTGTAGGATATTGTTAAATTAAATTGTTCAATATGTTAATTAAATTTTTAAATATAAACCAAACTTTTTTAACGTCCCACTGCTGGGCACGAGCCTCCCTTCAATACGAGGGGGCCATATAGTCCACCACGCTGGCTAAGTGCGGGTTGGTGCAGTTCATACGTCTTTCGAAAACTATTATATTCTCTCAGACATGCAGATTGTTCATAATTTTTTCTTCACAAAACTGAAGCATTTCCAAACATATTAAGCCACAATTTATAATGCTAAGTCAGTTAAAAATATAATATGGCGAGCCATCATGGACACGGTGACAGGTATCATGTCGCAGCACTGCTACGGCCTCCACGTAATCGATTGTATGCCGTGATTTGCTCTAATTATCGTATATGTATTCCCTATAGTACTATGGGGAAATTAAAGCTTTCTGTTTATCACCTAAAATCACACAAATTTCTTAAAGGCCGTTTAGTTTTTACTTACATATGTTGACCCTGTGTAAAAATGTACTATTTTTATATACAGTAAACGTAAAATTGAAAGTTTAATTACCAAATAAATGATTCGAAAACTTAGTTTAACTGTATTTTTCTTATATAAATTCTATACAAATGTGAGTATATTAGCTCCAAACAGGAGTAAAATTTTTATCATTCGGTATATTCAGGTATCATATGAGTATATCATAATTATTATTAACTACAAAAATCTCTAAAGCAATGTATTTTTATATAATTTCTTTTGCTGGTTGATTAAGGTATACGTAACTTCTATTTATTAACAGTTAATTGTCAGTTCAGTATTATAAAAAAAATCTATACTAATATTACATACATACTCGTATGTGAAAGTTTGTGAGTATGGATGTTTGTTACTCTTTCACGCCACAACGGCTAAACGGTTCTGGATGAAATTTGGCACAGAGATAGATTATGTCTGGAATAATACATAGGCTACTTTTTAACCCGGTAAAATATATGGTTCCTGTGGGATAGATTTGTTTTTGGTTTTCTAGAGGCGAACCCGTGCAAAGCAAGGGTGAGCCGCTAGTTACAAATAAATCAGAAAGAAAACACGACTTTTCTTTAAATTGAATGATAAATTTGTCTCTTGTGTATAGCGTATATGGAAGATCTACTTCCGGGTTAAAAGTAATATAATGTACTCTTGCTTAAATTGACATTACATCAATCACATAATAACAGAGTGATCAGATTAAAAAAAATCATGATATATAAAAGGCCGTGGTAGCCCAGTGGTACGCGCTCGCTTGGAAAACCGAGTGAAGCGGGTTCAAATCCCGGGTCTCGCACCTCTGATATTATCATGTGCGAATCATTTCCAACATGATTACCACTTGCCTTAACGGTGAAGAAAAACATCGTGAGGAACCTGCATGTATAAGAGAACCTAGCAAGTTTTCAAAAGACATGTGAAGTCCGCCAACCCGCACTTGGCCAGCGTGGTGGACTATGGCCTGATTCCCCTCGCACTGAACGGAAGCCCGTGCCCAGCAGTGGGACGTTAAAAAGGACTGATTACATGTACACTGATTAGTTAAATAGGCCTCTTTAATAAAATTTATTGTTTATGTTTTAAATGTCAAGTCAAAAGTTTTTTTATTTTATTTTTACATCTTATTAAGATTTTATAATTTGAGAAAATATAACATTAATAATGTGTTATCAGCTGCCTCTATTAAGTAAGAACTAAGTATTTTGTGTTTTAACATTGTAAGCGGAAATTGAACCTGAAAAAGATACAAAGTACGTGTCGGTTAATTTTATTACAACACCGACCAGATTGCATATAATAGAAATAGATAGATTATAGAATATAAGTTACTACATTCGATATCGCTTAAAGAAAAATCAAAATATAGGTATAGAAATGACATAACTCATGATAAAAAGCGTATACTTATATGTTTTATTCATTCAATTTTTTATTTTGTATACATACAATACGAGTATCTATATATTTATTGATACGTATATTTGTTTTTTTTACATTTTTTTTATTTATTTACTATTTACATATAATAATAACCTATTGTCTCTGCAGGCTGGGTTGCTGAAAGAGATCTCTTTACGAGATAATGATAATTCCATCTTTGTCATGTCATATTCTATCGTCTTATTTATATATTTATATTACAACATTAATTACCTTAAGTTAATTTCTACTTCCCAAATAGAAAGCTTATATATAATATAGAAAGTTTATATTTAACTAGCATTGCCCGCGGTTCCGCTCGCGTTCAGGTGACCTAAAACCAAATTCTTAGGTTTTACATATTAGTATACTCTTACATTGTAGTTTTTGTATTTTTTCTCAGAAATAAGACATTTTCCCGCGGTAAAATGTATCCTATATCTTGACCCGGATAACTAGCTATCACCGTCCAAATTTCATCAAAATCCCTCCAGTGGTTTTTCTGTGATGCGGTAACAAATAGACAGACAGACAAAAATTCTAAAAACTATAGATCCGGCCTCTGTATCGATAATAAAGTCTAATGTACAGATTCGGCTTAGTTACAATTTTATTATATGTATAATAGATGAAGTATATGGTAGTGAGATAACATATACTGAAGGAACGCTAAAAAACGTTCTATTTCTGCGTCTTTATATTTTCTACTAGATATAGTTATTGTGACAAGTCACCTTGTCGGAGTCCAAACCCAAGTTTTGTGAAATATATTTAAGAAAAGCATAATATTGTTACTTTTGAATTGAGAATATTCCTAAAACATGTTATGGATAAAATATAAAAAAAACCTTTTAAAGAGCCAGCTGATAGTGGTGTTATATTTCATCATCGATTTTGTATAAGCCTTAAACCCGTCGAGATTTTATAAGGGGAGCTGTGAAAGTGCACCGTATTCGGATACGTTTACACTTGATTTTAGTTTAACACACAAATATTTACAATTTGATACAAAAAAGATGTTATAAAATTAAAAAAAAACACAGTCCAAACAGACTTTTTAATCATTTTGAGTGGAAGAGAATTGATTATTATCAATAGAATGAATACACAGTCTCTAAGCTTAGTTTTATTTAAGTTCACGCTATCTTATAATAATAATATTAATATAAAAATATATTGCACTATATGTGCCCAAATGCAGCTTCTAAAGATTTCCAACATGTCAAAAGTTGTTTAAAATTACTCCATCGAAAACTTATACGAAACAAATGCGCTCCAAAGATTCATGTACTATTGAGCGGAATCGAAGTTTATACATTAATTTCGCATTGTGTAAACGACAACACATTTTGTATGTTAGCGGGCTATATTTATAGCAAACAAGCAATCGTCATCTCGTCTGCACTCAACCCCGTTCATTTCGCTTTAATTTTCCAAAACCCATCTCCGGGGAAAACAAAGCCAGCGCCATTTCACGCGATCCAAACCGACCGAACAATGCTTTTCTACCATCCTACTATACATTCGTAGGTATAGCAACACTGAGCTGTCAAACATACATCCATCTCGCTCGCACCAAGGGGAACCCCCGCACCGAAAGCGCGGTAATGTCGCATGCGGTTCTTTTAATTTTCGAATGCGGTTTGTTCGGATTGCTGTGAGTGCATTTGTTGCTCTTTTATTTTTTATGGTGATCGATGTCGACAGGAATGAACGCTCCAAATAAATAGGTTTTTTTTTCTATTAAACGATACTTGATATATCTAGGTTGTAATGTCTGCTTTTATTTAAGAGAGTATTTGTGCTGATAGAGAATAGCGCAAAGATATCTTTGAAATGGAATCCGCAGCATTGAATGCTCCATATGAACTGAGTTGACTTCACATTTTTAGCGCACGTATTTACATATACATTATTATATACTTATAGTTTAAGATATTCATAGAATATAATATTTACTAAAATGCGAATAATTAGTACATGAATATATTAAAGGCTGAAGTGGGTATAAAATACGAATTATAAAAAAAACAATTTTACTGATTTTAAAATGTCCTACATATATAATAATATATTGTATACGGTGACATTTTTCTACACAGCGTCAACATATTCATAACCATCTAACATAACACAACGGCCCATTTAATAATTTCTAAACACAATTCCGTATTCATAAACTGCTTAACTAGTAAGCGTTTGTGTAAACAGCAAGCCAACGGTAACAAAGGATTACCTGATATGGCTTCTAAAATCAATGAGAATCACTGCTAAAACTACCATTTAATGAGACCTCCTTTATTTATACTTGTACACGCCAACAGGGTTCTAGATATATTGGACGGTGATCTCAAAAGTTATGACAGTGGTGTAAGCTAATTTGAACTTTATGTTTTCATGTTAAAGTTTATAATAATAGACAGTAACGGGAGTGTTCCCGATTCGGTTGTAGTGATTCATTCAACGGCGTTGATGACATTTGACTTCGCGCCTCCGTCTCTTTGAATTTTCAATTTGCATACACGAATTGTTACAAAAAATATATTATTAAAATAATAAGGTTTTTAAATTAATAGCGAATTAGTTTCGCTTCGTACGCTTACGTCTAGGTAACTAACAGAAGCCAATGTGTTACTCCAGCTTATATTATCAGAATGTAAAATAACATAAAGCCAAAATAATGCATTCGGTGATAACGTGCTCCTGTTAGTAAAAGACTCTTTATAATCAGATCAGTAGTTTCAGAGATTACACCCTATATCCAAACTTACACTTCACCTCTTTATAATATTAAGCGTAGATATTATAGAATAATAATTAATTTTCATTTAAATGTAGGTATTGTTGTTTGATAATTCCCGTCGTGTTTGTTTTTAATTAATCTACTAGGGCTTCAGTGTTCATTAAACTCCTAACAAGAAACACCGCCAAATTGCCCAATCACGGGCGCAATGGCGTAAAATCCTTCGATTAGATTAATAATGTAATTGGATCGGAATCGTAATCGAAATAACGTGTCGATTTGTAGTGAAACCTTTTAAAGGTACGATAAACTATTTATGGATGTTTAATAGGTAAAAGAGAAAACAATTGTATTAAAAATATACAGCCATTTGTTGGATTCTTTTAGCATTATTTCAAAGACTTTTTTTTTAGTTTTTTTTTGTCTTGTTTTTTCATAAAACACGTAATTTTAAAAGTGTTTCAGAAGAAAGTTTTTGTAAAGTTCATTACAAATAAAGTTTAACAATGAAATATTGTTACAGAGGATTCAACAACCAACGAAGATGGTTCAGCAGCAGGGTCCCCCAGGCCCCGCAGCCCGCCCCGCGCCCCTTCCCCTCCGTCGCCATCTCGCTCATCTCCACGTTCGCCGCGTCTTCATCCCGCGCTGTACCCCCAACAGCCAGACGCACAAGACTCAGACCCAGACGTAGACGAAAGTGACGACTTCGACAAAGACGAGAAACGAGACCCTACCTCTAGTCTGGGAAAGAGAAAGAAAAAAACCCGAACGGTTTTCTCTCGCTCACAAGTATTTCAGCTCGAATCAACCTTTGACATGAAAAGATACCTCAGTAGCTCTGAGCGAGCTGGTCTGGCTGCCAGTCTGCACCTAACAGAGACTCAAGTGAAAATCTGGTTCCAAAATCGACGAAACAAATGGAAGAGGCAATTGGCAGCGGAATTGGAAGCCGCGAACATGGCGCATGCTGCTCAAAGATTGGTGAGAGTACCGATTTTGTACCACGAGTCAAGGCCTACTTCGATGCCTCACACGCCCATGGCGATACATCCTCAGTTCTCAAACGAGACTGGTGTATACTTTCCTCCTCAAGCACCACAGCAGCTACAGCCGTTGCCGGCCTCCCCAGTCACTTCCAGAGCACCTTTATCTAGTCTAGTGTAGTGTCCGCTTGAAGCCGCTCGTAGTGAAGCGGCAGATGGACACTTTTAAAACAAACATTTTTTTATCGGCGCGGACTAGTCATACCAGTGAGTGTCATAGCTGTCAAATGCCAAATTAATATTTGTATTTTGTAATTGATATTTTAGTTGTGAGTAGATAATATAATAGAATAAATGTAACGTACAAAATCGTTGTCATTCCACGTTGTATATTATTGTAAATAGAAATGTTTTAATATCTTCTTGTATTTATTCTGTGCTAAGCTAGCTAATATTGTATATAAATTTAGTGGAATCAGTGACCGAAGCGCTTCATGCAATGTGCAGTTTTATTATTATTGAGAAAATCTTGTGAAATAATTTTTTTTTTGTAATTACTATTATAAATTAATTTAATAATAAGTAAATTTTAACGAATATAAACCTTTATTTAAAATAAACTGTCAAGTCAACTAAATAAATAAAGGTTCAAATTGTAGAAATAACGCTAGCAACCCAGACTGTAGTCGGGTAGTCCTAATTTTGTATAAAGTGTTGCCACATTGTCAATGTCACTGTAAAAGCTAGCCTAATGCTTAATTCTAAATATTAATGTTACGATAGTAGTTGACTATCTTTAAATTACATTGAACTATTATAATGATGCTGAGATAAGGCGATGAATAAAGACATCACGCAATATACTACTTGTTTTATTGAGATACCAACAATATAGTTGAATATATTATTTACTTTTTGTTTTTTAAAGTGCCTATCAATGTAACGAACAGGATATAACTTTTACTTCAACAAACTGTTAGATCATAAATTCTGGGTGGTCCGACAAATTCGGAAATAATAATTGTATAAAAAGCAAAAACTTTATCGTATATTATCTCTTATTTAAATATATCCATAAATTAAAAAGTAAATTAAAAAAAAACATTATAAAAAGGGGAATAACCGAAAAAAGGGGTAAATTAAACATGGATAGCTTTAAGTGTCGGCACACGTTAACAAACCAATGTTTCCGGTCAAACACCGCACGCTTCCTGTGCAGGCGAGGGTGGATTACATGCTGACGAACAGTGATACATATTTAGCTATAGAATTGATAAATAAATTGTTACTTTTTATTGTGTCCTTATATTAGTAATAGTGATTCAAATATAATATATTTAGGATGATTTTTTGTTATTTACTACGCTACGAGTATAGTTATGATATGAGATATCAGACATTTCTTACTAACAAATTAATACTTACTAATATAAAATGTAATTAAAACGTATGTAAAACGTGTTTAGTTTGTCCTTCTTTCACTTATTAATTAATCGAAACACAAGGTACCGTGAGATTTTAATTAGGTATGAAGCTTATGGGCAGGTGCGTGATAGACTAATTCATATATCCATACATTAAGGTGTTCCTTTAATATACTCGTATAAGTATACATATATATACAATTCCAATAAGATATTTCTATTGTGATAACTTAAAAAAAAATCACTAAACGTAAACTTAGAAATCTTACGTAGACTAAGGGACTAAGAATTCTTACATATTTTTAAACTTAATAATTTAAATTAAAAAAATATGTTAGAATCAACTAGAGTTTTAGGATTTTCGTAAATTTTGGCATCTATTGACCGTAGCTCCTCCACTCGCGCAATAATTGTTTAGAAGCAGCCAATACTATGTATAGATAATAGTAAAAAAAATGTTAAAAATGTAGTTGTTTTCGGTAAAAGAATTGTTAGAATTTAATTTGTAGTTCCAAAACATATACGAATCAAAAAAACCTACCTTAATAAACATAACTAGGTAATATAAGGTAGACACTAGATATTTCATTGACAGATACCGTTTCATATTTATCTATCGACTGGTGGCTTACTCACGCTCTGCTCGGTTGTGCCTCTCGATTGCGATATTTTCGAATAAATTTAGAAATAAATATTACTGGTCGATAAATTGTTTCTCGAAAAAGTTCTCTTTTTAGATAATTTCTCTTTTCATAAGTGAAAAGCGTATGAAAATCCGTACAGTAGTTCGGAGATTAGTCCAAACAAACACAAACTCAACTTACTATATTACATGGGGTGATTTTCATTTACCCACCAATTTGTATTATGTTAGCCCACAATACTTTTTAGTGCATACTGCGTAATACCTTGACTTCTAACATCTAGAACTTGAATATGGAAACATCCGCTAAGCTAATTAAAAATATACTCTTATTTTTTCAATTATTACCAACATTTTAAAACCATTTCAACCTAATGCCCACCAATTCGTTAGACCCTTATCGTTATGTAAAGATATCTATTTAATTAAGCGATTCGCGATATTAATTCGATTATTACTCCTCGTAAAAAGCTAAAACAGACTTTTGCCGCGCAAACGACGTGCCGTCACGGCACGGCCATGCTATAAAGCAATTTGGATTTTATCGTTAAGTAATAGAGATTACATTGGTTTATCACGTCTATTCTCTAATTACTGTGCAAATCGCACGCTATATACGACAATGTGTTTAAAAAGCAACCTTAATTAGTAGGAATAAAGTACTTTTTTAAAAAGCACGCAACTGATCTTAATCTAGTAATCTCAATCACATTAGCGTGAAGAATTTTTTTCTTTATTTTTATAAAGATAAGATTGATATTTGAATGTCATGTAAAGTGTAAGTGGTGTCATCTATCGGCCATTAGATCGAGTTAGGTCGGGAATGTTAATTAAATTAAAAAGTGAACGGTTCGCGCGTGCCCCCAAGTGTTGCCACGCGACTACGGATTTTTCAAATGTTACTTCGTTATTGGAATTGAATTTGTAACGTATTCTATTTTTTATTTTTTTATCTGATTGTTAATTTCGCTTAGATTTATCTTTATGTTGTATTTACTATTTTAGGTATGTTATATTATGTTAAAGGTGAGAAACGAGATGAACTCTCGTTATTTATAGCTGCTGGTACCAACTGAAGAAGAGGTTGGAGCTTTGATTCCTAAACTTAGAATTTTTTAAATATATCTATAGAGAATATAGAAGTAAGTTCCTACTATGGTACAGGTAAAAGACTTATATTGATTTACGTGCGAACTAGACCGTCTACAGGCGCTCATTTAGAAATTTCAATTAAATCTACAAACTTGACTAAAAGCAAACCTAAACCTAGAAATGAATTGAAAATATTTTAGAAATTACTCCTTAGAAGCAGAAGCTTGTTTAGCTGGTGTAATACTTCCTTAGAATAAGTAATATTTTAAATAAAACTATCTTTTCGAATTATGTCGCGTTTTTTAAGTTTTTATTCGTTTGTCTTATTTTCGAGTACATATTTCGTATTCTTATCTAGTGTGGAATGAAATATATTTGTATGTTATGGGGTTTAAACATAGACAAGCGAAAAAAAGTGATTTTTCATTCTAATGTTTAATTAGGGATACATAAATTATAGAAAGATATCTGACATCTTGGCTAATGCAATTTTTCTTTTTTTTGGTTTATGTTTATAATAAAGATATTCCTAAAATTCACCGAATTTTGGTAATGGTCAGAACAATTAAAGTGATCCCATTAATTACAGAGTAATTTACGTGAAATGTTATATATCCTGCTGTCAAACATGACAGATAAGCGAAATGGCCGCTAATGGCTGGCTCGCTGTCAACCATGTTTGTTTTTAATACTTGTAATTATTCAAATTTCGAACGGCAGATGCGTTCGGATACGTTAATCGAATTTCAACGCGTATTCGTTTGATTGTACTTAAATTTTGGACGATATGAAACCTTTTTTAGATAGGCATAAGCGATATATCGTGAGGGATATTATTTACTTTTTAAAAGTCGATTATAATTTGTTATGGTCCTTATTTTGAGGGACATAAAATATAATAAAAAATATATATGAATTACGTTTGTTGCGCAACAAAGTAGTTAATGATGTGTTTAATTAAAATTTTGTAGTACATCAATTAAACGGGTTAATGACTCGTAAATGCCCATGATACTGGCTGATCTGGATCGTTAAAGGAGGCCGCGCATCAATTTATATCACCTTATGGTGTCAATTTTTTTTAAATACATTTATTTTATTTTAATTCATGTAGCGAAAAGCCGTCTTATGTTATAAAGCCTTATCAGAATTTCTTTGTTAATGGCTTTTAAGATTAACGTATCTTATACCTTAATACGAGTCGAAGAACTTTTGAACACTAAGTATTTATCATACTAAAATTATGCCTGGTTAAAAATTCGGGATCTTGAATGGAGTAAATTTGAAAATTGGGAAAAGTGGGAGGTGTAAGCAGAGCTCGTTACTTGGCACTTTATTCTCTCTTAGCTCGTAAAGTATGATGATGATGTTCTCCTAGCCGATTCCGGCCACGGCGGCCAATCTCATTGAGACTAGCCAACTGCGCAGGAGATATTATAGTGCACAAGTGTACGCGCAGACACAGGTGCACTCTCTATTCCTGTCACTCTCATAATCCGGTGGGACGACTGCTCGACACGACCAGTGAGAGTTAAGGTGCAGGACCGACGGCTTTACGTGCTCTCCGAGGCACGGGGGTGAAACACCGCCAATACAATACAGAAAGACTCAATAACTAAACTTGGCCCGACTCAGGACTCGAACCCAGGACCTCCGAGTGTGCAGCCGTACATGCTAGCCACTACACCACCGAGGCAGTTAAGTATATACCGATTCAAATTAAGAAATAATAATAATACACTCTGTGGAATTATGTTAAACTTCTGTTTATCAAATAGAATGGAAGCGGATCCTGCAGTTAATGTAAGTTATATGTTCTTATAATGTAGTTTTAATTATTAAATAAATAGTATTCTATTAAATATCAGTGTTTTCAATTTAACATAATTACTCATATATGCAACCGCCATAAACAAATATTATATTACAAGTAGAAAATAAATAAATAAATATGTTAGGACATTAACACACATCACCATTTAGTTCATTGGTAAGCTACGAGGCTTGTGTTTTGGATAC